ATATATTCTTTCATTTCACTCGTTCTGCTCGTTCATGTTTTTTCTATTAAAGTAAAAAGAATATTTTTTTTACCTTCACGTGTTTCTTTCTTTTCTGCTCAGAGTATTTGTTGTTGTTATTCAGGATTGACGTATTTAGATAAAAATACCACACTGAAGGCAATAGAAACTGTTATTAGAACACAAGAATGACGGGTCAAACAAAAATGATAATTATAACATCAGATGAGAATATTATTCGTCAATTTGCTTTTAATCAAAACACAAATACACATATTATTGATATGGATATTAATAATAGACAAATAATATCAATTGAAAAAAATGATGATAATAATAATACGATTAATTTGGATTTTGTTCCTGAATTAACTAGAAATAATCAAGTTTATAAGCGAACAATTGAAACTACCGATCATAATCAATCAAAAGCAGTTAAAACACGAAAGAAATCGACTAATCTGATTTGTACTATTTGTGGTGATCGTGCTATTGGATATAATTATGCGGTTCTTTCATGTGCATCATGTAAAGCTTTTTTTCATCGAAATAGTCATCAAGATTTGGTTAGTTAATACTTCGTTTATTTTGTTTGATTCGAATTATTTTTAGAAAAGATTCAAATGTTTAACGGATCATGGTCAATGTGTAATTGATTATAAAATAAGTCGAAAATGCTATCGATGTCGATTAGAACGATGTTTTGCTATGGGAATGAGAAAAGATTTAATTTTAAGTCAAAAAGAAATACAACGAAGAAAAGATTCCGGAAGAAATCGAAATGCTTCATCAACAATAGAATTGACAAATTCTGTACTAAATTCCGAATCTGTTTTACCAACATTTGATGAAATTGATCGCGTAAGTTCTTTCAATACTTATCAAAGTAATTTGATGTTCTATTTTAGCTATTCATGGAAATCAATCAAGATAATGATAATATTAATGTTCGTGAGAGTACTGATTCAACTGAACAGTTACAATCATTGAGTGTTCAAGATTTGGAAGTTATTAACAACATTCATTCATTATTTTTATCGATCGTTAACGAATGTGAAGATCTGACTAATTTTGATGATTCGTCCGATGAAACTTCTGAATTAATCTGTTGCTTACAATCTAATAATAAGATCGCTCTTCAAATTATTAAATTTTGTCGTCTAATTGATAGTTTCGAAAATCTGAATGCTGATGATCGTTTTATTATGATTAAATATAATCTTATTCTTCTCTTTTGTATCTCGACGTGTTACCTAGGTAATCAGACAAATGATTGTTCTCCAGATAGAGAACACGAAAGAGCAGAAGAAAAGCGGCAAATGTATATTTTATGTAATCAATCAGATTATATATATGAAATGGTTATAAACGTGGGTATTATCTTTGATGATATTATTGAATCGGATGAAGTATTATTATCTCTTCTTCTCGTTATTATCCTATTCTCTAAAGGTTTATCAATGAATGAAAATGAACCAACACTTAAAGATCCATTAGCTATGTATCGAACTCAATCTTACTATACAAAATTATTGTGGAATTATATGATCAAGAAACAAGGTGAAACAGAAGCTTGTAAACATTTTACCAAATTGTTGGCAGCTATCTTTCGAGCTCAATCAGCAGCTGTGAGATTTCGAGAATTTCTTGGTAGTCAAGTGACAACATCAGATGCTGTCGATGACATTGCACCACTTATGCGAACTATTCTACATATTTCTTAATTTTATTCTGTATTTGTATAAAGGGTGAGTCGAAAGTTTTCGGACAAAATGTTTGTTCATTTTTTATTTTGGAAAGGCCTAAATAATTGGTTTGGACTGCGAACAAATAAGTTATTGCTAACCTCTATAAATCTCTTTGTAAAGCGAACACTTTTTTACAAAATTTGATATCGATCTAAACTGTAGATTTTTCTCTACAAGCTAATATATCAACAAAACATCCAACTTTGAGTTTAAGATTTTCGTAGTGAAAATACGAAGCATTTTGTTCGAAAACTATCGACTCACCCGTTATTTATTGAATAAATGAGCTATTGTACAGAACTTTTATTAGACGATAGTGACGTTCTTAATTCAATATTAAAATAAAACTTGTTTTAGAAGTCAAAATTCCAGTAATGTAGAAATTGAATACTCGAAACATCTCTTCGAGTTTTACATGTATGGACATAGTTGCAGAACATGATATTCTGAACTTTTTATTTTCGAATCTTTTTGCGTTTAAAACAGGATAAAACTTTAGACATTACATGAATACTGATTAAAACAAATAAGAAATGATAATATTTAATAGAATATCAATTTGATAAATGTACATATGACATGTTGTTTAGTTCTTCTTTGGAGCTGAGTCACTAAATAGAGAGTCGCAGACGAATTCAGGATATCGTTCACCAACTACATCGGCCTTTTCACATTTTTCTCGAATTTCTTGTATTTCTTCTTTGCTTAACTTGATCTGAACAGCCGCAACATTTTCTTCTAAGTTTTTGATTTTACTTGTACCTGGTATTGCAATAAAGTCATTGCCTTGAGCAAGAATCCATGCTAATGTTAATTGACCTGGCGTACAACCTTTTCTATTGGCTATTACCGTCAGTTCATCGACCAATTTAAGATTCTTCGGAAAGTTTTCCTTGGAAAAACGTGGAATTATTCGTCGAAAATCATCTGCTGCAAAATCATCTGGATTTTTAATTTGTCCACTAAATAATCCACGACCGAGTGGTGAATAACAAACAATAGCTACACCAAGTTCTCTGCATGTTTTTAAAAGACCAATTTCATCTCTTTCAATATCCAAGCTAAATGGTGAATATTCAATTTGTACACAAGCAACTGGATGAATAGCACAGGCTCGTCGTAATGTATCACTTGAACATTCAGATAAACCAATATATTTGATTTTACCAGCTTTAACAAGTTCTTTCAAAGCACTCATTGTTTCTTCAATTGGTACAGTTTTGTCAATACGATGAACATAATAAAGATCAATTGAATCAATGCCGAGTCTTTTTAAACTTTTTTCACATGCTTCAAGAACATATTGTGCATCACCACGAATTGAGTAGGCTTTGGTGTCAGGATCGATTACACCGGCAAATTTTGTTGCAAGAAACACCTAGATAAACAAAAATAGTATTGAAACTGATAGATTAGAATGGTCTATCAACAGTTTACATTGCGCTACATATATACTGTTCCTGAACAAACAAAAGTACTTTAAAACTCGTATATTTCAAATAAAAACTGTTTTAACTAACGTATTATTCAAAATTCATTCTTAAACAAAATCTTTTTGCTAACCTTTTTACGTTGTTGTGGATATTTCTTGAAATATTTTCCTAATAAATCTTCATTATCACCATACACATCGGCACTATCAAAATAGGTACTACCAAGTTCAATAGCACGATCCAAGACTTTGAATCGTTCTTCATCAGATCCGACAGTTCCATATGCTACTGATAAACCCATTACTCCATAACTAATAGCTGGTACTTTTGGACCATTCTCACCTAATTGACGTTCTGGCATTGATGAATGATTAAACAATCGATTACACATGTCGACTTTTACGAAGAGAAATAAAATTGCTATATTGAATTTACACTGTAGATCAACTGTCAAATCTTCTCAGTATATATACTGATAGAAAATACGTGGAAAAATAAGAAAAAGGTGAACGAATTCATATTATTTTCTACAGAAAGTAAAAAGGTGAACGCATTCGTACTTGACAGAAAGGAAAGAAAAAGGTGAATGCATTCGTACTCGGCAGGAAAGAAAGAAAGGTGAACGCATTTTTACTTGACAGGATAGAAAAAAAGGTGAACGGATTCGTACTTTTGTGGTAAAAAAAGAGACGGTTATAAAAAAGAAAACAAGACGATGATCTTCAAAATATCGGATATTATTACATACAGTAAGGGTGGGTGTGGGTGTGGGTGTGGGCGTGGATTGCTGTGTATCAAGAAGATCAGACATCTACACCCACACCCACCCTTATTTTCAGCTTTTACTTCTCTTACTCAGTTCCAGCTATGAAAAAATAATGAATTCGATCTGCGCTGGACGATTGAAAACTTTCCATTATTTGTGATTCGAAAGTTTCATAATAAATATTTAAAGCATTGTTTTTGTTGTGAAATTCAGTTGCCATCTATATAAAAAAGATAAATTTCATTTTTTCATACACTCAATTTTAATGGTCTATTTCTATATCTCCATATATGCAATACTTGAAACTTGAATTCAACTATTCAACTAGACCATGTGTGGATGACATAGCAAACAATATATATATCGCAGCTTTCCTACGTTTTCTTTATCATACGAGACCTCGTTCAACACTAGTACAATTCAATTCCATATAAGTTATTCTTCTTTTATTACAGGCAACACTCATAACGAATTAGAAATGTAAATATGTCCGAGAAGGTCATTTATATTCATACGTATGTATATGTATTATCTTATCACACGATGTTGTTCATTACGTTTTTATTATTGACAGAGTTCTTTACTGTACGCGTAAGCGTGCCATTGAAAAAAGAATTATTTCAAAAATAAGTGAACAGAATATTCATTTATTTATTTATTTATCAGATATTTTTTATAATTTCTTTTTAACAATTTCAATACTCTCTTTCACTTCTTTGATATAAGGATGAGTTGGAGGTAATGCATGTTGAAATATGTACAGAGCACGTTCGAAATATGATAGTGCTTTCCGATAGTTATTCATATTGTAATACACCAAACCGATGTTATTGTATGAAGGACCTAAATCAGGATGACTTGAAGGAAGAGTTTTTTCTCGAATTTCAAGAGCTTTTTTGTGAGATAAAAATGCTTCAGAGTACTCTCCCGTCTTATAATACACACTACCAATGTTGCTGTATGAATTAGCCAATGAAGTATGATTAGAAGGAAGAGTGTTTTGTCGAATATCAAGGGCTTTTTCGTGAAATGAAAGTGCTTTAGAGTACTCTCCCATGTTATCATACACCGAACCGATACTGCTGTATGAAGTAGCCAAATCAGGATGATTTGAAGGAAGAGTTTTATGTTGAATTTCAAGAGCTTTTTCGTGAGATGAAATTGCTTTAGAGTACTCCCCCATGTTGTCATGTACCAAACCGATATTGCCATATGAAGTAGCCAATAAAGAATGATTTGAAGGAAGAGTATTTTGTCGAATTCCAAGAGCTTTTTCGTGAGATAAAAGTGCTTTAGAGTACTCTCTTATCTTCTCATACACCGAACCAATATTATTGTATGAAGTAGCCAATAAAGGATGATTTGAAGGAAGAGTTTCTTGAAAGATTTTCAGTGCTTTTTCGCAAAATGAAATTGCTTTTGAGTACTCTCCCATGTTATCATACATCAAACCGATGTTGTTGTATGAAATAGCCAAATCACGGTGATTTGAAGGAAAAGTTTCTTGAAAGATTTACAGTGCTTTTTCGCAAAATGAAATTGCTTTTGAATACTCTCCCATGTTATCATACACCAAACCGATGTTGTTGTATGAAGTAGCTAATGAAGGATGATTTGAAGGAAGAGTTTCATGAAATATTTCAAGAGCTTTTTCGCAAAATGAAAGCGCTTTAGAGTACTCCCCCATGTTGTTATACACCAATCCGATGTTGCCATATGAAATAGTCAATGAAGGATGATTTGACGGAAGAGTATTTTGTTCAATTTCAAGTGCTTTTTCGTAATACCAAATAGCCTTTGCATAATCACCCTTATGATCTTGGACATATCCCAGACAAACATAGTAATATGCTTTTTCAGTATCATCAGATTCGTTTTCGAGTAACGCATCACAAAGTTCTTCAGCCTTAATAAATTGACCGATTTTAAGCAATAATTTGCACAATCTTCGCCATCCATTATCACCAGTAGCTTCTTCTCGTATCTGATCAGTAAGTAATCGTAGTTGTTGTTCATCATCCGACATTAATTGTAATTCAACTTGATAAAGTTTATGATCATAGCCCATTTGTTTAATTGCACACACTCGAAAGACAGTGTGCATTGAGAAGAGAACTTCATCTTCTTCTTTAAAATAACTCTCATTTTTTATGGAGGCAAATGGTGTTGATTTAATACAAGGATCAATGGACATTATAAAGAGAATGCCCACTATGTCAAGTTTTGTTCAAGCATCTCGAGCAAAACTGAGGGATACTTTTTCATTTGTGCTGGTGGACAGGAAATTGTTAAATGACATTATTCCACCTTCTGCTTTCTGAAGTTTTTCGAAATCTGACTTCATAAGGCCTTGTCCTCGATATACCTTGAAAGACTTTCTATCCTAACTGCTGACCTGTTGTTCATATAACTGTTGAATTTGTTGATGTACATCACGTAGAAAGAAGCCCATATTAATAATTATATTGGCGTCCAATATTTGAAGTGCTTGATTGAGCATTTTGAAGGTAAAACACTCACGTGTATACCACCATAATGCTTGTTGTAGGTGATAGTCACGTTCAAATTCATCAATAATTTGTAATTGAGTTGGATTGCCATCAAAAACTTCGCGGCAACAAGCTGCTAAGTTTTTGATCGCCTTGCGATCATATTCAATATCAGGGAGAATTGCTTTGAGTATTTTCGTATACATAAAATTTGACTCCAACTGATTTAAATTATCAAGTGAAGCCATTTCATTTAACGTAAGAAAACTTACGGCTATTGTGTCCTGGTCGTACTGCTTAACAGCCAATTGTAATGCTTGGCAAATTTCTGTAATATTTGTATGAACACCTTTAATTTTTGTCCAGTTTTGTGTCCATCCTTGATGTCTGAATTTGTCATCACAGAAGATGTAAATTGCATCTAAGTGTGGCATGTCATGAATTTTAGGAATCAAATGTTGACTTAATGAGTCTGATGTTATAACAACAGCTCTTTCATCATCAAACTGTTTGAGTATTTGGATGCACTGATCCGGTAGCGTGCATAAGTTAACGTTGTTGATCACATTCTTCAATTGAGCCAATGTATCTTGGTAGTCATTGTTTGAGTCATCGATGCTGTCATCTACCCATACGAGAAGGTAGTTTTGTGCCATACATTGTTGTGGTTGACGAGTATAACATGTTGTCGTTCCATACGAGGATTTAAAGTTCTGTTTGGAAAGCTTTGGACCCATGATATGTATATATTAATAATCGGACGATAATTGAATGTGGTTGTAGAGCTGAAGAATTGATGGTTAAACAAAGAAACGAACACTGCTTTTTAAATGAAAATCAGATCTCTTTATCACAACGTTTTTATGACGTCATTAACTATTCTTCTATGTTTATTACTATTATCTATAATAAAATCCTGTCCTGTGTATCGCTCACCTTGTATCGTACAGCAAGGTGAGTAAAAAGAAGAGAATATCATTACTAAAAAAACACATATTTACTCTGCAAATAATGCATGTCAACAGGCTCACTGCATTATCTCCTGTTTTTGACTCGTATATTGAAATTATGGGTGTTACTTTATCTTTACTTTATTAATAAAGATAAAGAAATAAAGTTAAAATAAAGAAAAAAGATGCATTTTCTCATGCAATAAGTATAGAGGGGTAAGTCGTCGGCTTCAGCAAAAATCGTCTGACGGCTTACACCTCTAAATAAGTACATATGCAAATACCCTGTATAACAACAGAATACGTTTATTAGTGCTCTTTCTTATCATCATCACTTCTATATGCCATATCATCAAAAAAAAGGATCACACAAGAAACGATATACACGAAAAATACTATTCCATATTATAGTTAATCATATAATATCATAATTTTTTGTGAGCTACTCTAAGAAAATAGAAAAAGTACGTTTCGATAGTAAAAAAATCTTTATTCTTTATTTTATTTTCGAAAATAAAGATAAAGTAACACGCCTAATTGAAATTGCACAATGAGAAAAGTCAAATGATCGTTTTCTTTTCTGTGAACGATCAATAAAATTTGCTCGATCTTGTACATTTATTAACTATAAAAGGAGTGAATAATAATTAATGTTAAACTCATTGTTCGATAAATTAACAATTTATTCAATATTCAAATTATAATACTAACTAGTAGAAGTACCTGCCGTTGCCAGGAAAACTCAGATTATAAATGCCGGTAAGTTATATTAATGATATCAACATTGTCAAAACCTCAAGTTTTATCTCGTTTCGTTGTCGAATGAAAAAAAACGTAATTGCATGCTCCAACAATAAAGTTACTAAGCAGAGATCTAAACAGGCCTGCCTGTTATGGCCTGTGTAATTTGAACGGTATGGGTGGATGTAGGTATTATTTCTATCTCACATCTACATCCACAACCAGATCCTCGTCCACACTCGCACCCTTAATGAATAGATAGTGTATATATTGATTAAAATTAGCCATCTATAAGTGATTATCAATATATATATGGATTGGCAGATGAAAATAATAATATTAATATACAGTTACTTATAATTATATGAGATGGTTATTTACCATTAACAATCAATTAAATCAAAATAAATCAAAAATATCTGTCATGATGGTATTTAAGGAACCATTTCATTTTATAATATTCTTTGTAGAATCTATTATTTTACTGTCATTCCATCATCTACCAATATATATTGCAACGTTTTCCCAAAAAAAATGGAAGCGATACACATTCATGTATTATAAATCGTACCTCTCCTCGAAAAAGAAAAGATATTAAAATAGTGCAATTTATTATTAGTTATATATAGACTTTTTCTTTTTCATTATCTTATTTGATATTGATAAAAGTACATTTATTTTATATTTCCAACATGATATTCTGGCAAAATAGTGGATTTATATAGATTGACTTCTAAAAAATCTTGTTTATCACTATAATTGATCATTATTCTCGAATCATTCTGTATAACAGAAATTGGTACAAAGAAAATAGATTAAAAATTACTTTTACAACAATTAGTCTTGAATGTAATATATCATGTGTATTTTCATATTACTTTTCTGTTAACATAAATTTAAAACTATAATTAAAAAATATTTTGCTTGAAGTTATACTCTATTATGTTATCTAATAAAAATAAATTTTCATATCATGTCATTCAAACATTAGAATTAAGAAAGAAAATGAATCTCTGACATAATATCTGATAATCGTATATAAAGATAGAATCATCTTATTAATTTGATTAATAAAGTATTTGCCTTAAGTCTACTTTTAGACCACCAACGATGAATCAACAATACATTCATAATGTCGCATTTCTTTCTGTTTGATCTACATTGATACAGAAAAAAAACAACGAAGAAAACTTAAATCTTTCTCATTGTTAAATAAACGAAGCATGTTTAAGTGTAGTTTTACTGCTGTGCATCACTTTTATAATTTAATTCTCCTATCAAGCATAGACTATGTATATATATGAATGAGTTTCATTCTATTTAAAGGTGAGAAGTTGACTAGACAACAACATATATATTAGTAAAGAAGGTAATCTGATTGGCTTCGTCACGCATCTATTTCGTCCACTCGTTATCAGCATGACATCAACAGTTTTTCAATTATGCTAAAAATGATGCTTCATTAGACAAGAAATGAACAAATGAGCGTATTTTTATGATTAAATATTTAATCTTTTTCTTTTTGTTGACGTGAATACTTATCATAATCAATTCATTCGATTTTATATTCATTATGGCGTCATAATTAATTTTTTCTCTTGTTCATCCTTGTCTTAAAATCTCAACAAAAAAAAATTCGACGCCAACAAGAGCAACTCGAAGAACAACATGCATATATATATATAACGAAGAGCAATAGGAATAACAAGCTATAATTACATGCATGAAGAACATCACTTGACATCAACAAGAAAATCAGTGATAATTATATACATAGGAAATGTTGATGACACATCATTCTCATTTGATGAAAATTACCTACATTTATTAAATCGATAGGAGTTTATTTTATCTATATGAGGCAAAAAAAAAGGTATCCCTATATAAATTTAAATGATTTCAATTTGTACAATTATCATATCATTGGTGCTCAATCAATGTAGAGTAAATATAAAAAAACATCTTGTCTATCTATCATTCTATTCTCTCAATGTTCACTGGAGCACATATTTCAATTTGCTGTTCAGTCTCTTCATTGATAGGTGAACAAGAGAGAGAGTAAAAGGGGGAGTGAAAGTTGTCATCATGATATAGACCATGATATGGTTTATATATATATATGTATATGTGTTCATTCTCTCGCATCATTACCACCATTCAGACAAATTCGCCCTCGTGAAAGAAAAAGGTGTATGTATGTATGTGCTTATATACTCGAATTACTGAATAGTCTATGTTCTTCTTCAAATATTCAATATGTCGAGGGGCCGAACTAAACTCATGCATTAGGTTACGCAGTGGATAAAATAAAAGTGAGATCAAACATTAGATCTCCTGCTGTTACAGCTGCTTTCTTATTCGATTTTTCTATAACAAAAAAAAAGAAAAAGAAGAGAAAAAGTTGACCGGTAATTGTTTATATTTTCATCAGACAAAAGCAAATTATCCGGTACTATTCTCATTTGATGATGATTCACTTTCCTTTTTCCATTATTTCTTCTATTAAATTACTAATATGAAGATCCATCCATACACACGCATTTTTTGTTTGTTCAGGTACTAACGATCGTCTTTAAAAACATAAAAAGAAAAATCGATTGATAAGTATGTGGGAGGAGTATAAGCGGAATTAATTGAAAAAAGAAAAACCGAATTTTTTTATGTACACGTTAGCCACTTGATTAGACTTGTAGATTGCATGTTCACTTTCACACAACACAAGGTAGTCAGACAGGCAAAAGTCCGGCTAACTTTGTACCACTCACCGAGTTCAAAGAAGCTTTATGTCGATAAAAGCCTAACGTCAATTGTAATTCCCACAATGATTCGATAAGTTTATTTAAAAATAATCACGAAATACATTAAAACTATTAACTCATTTTTTTTGTTTCTTGTAAAATAAAACCATCTGCATCACAGCATGTTACTATTGTTCACTATTATCTCCTCCTCCTCCCCTCTCCTCCTCTTTCATTTTCGATTGGTTAATGTCAATCTTATATTTCTTCTTTTTTTTTTTCATTCGAAAAAAAATCACTTATCTAAACAAACTAATTATCTTCTTTAATCATTACTTATTCAAGAAAAACATCACTCGTCTCGACATTTCTTCGATATATTGTTTAAATGTTCTTTTCTTATATGCGTCGGAAAATTGTATTGTACACAAAAATTTCCCATCCGTTTGATGATCATTATTTTATTCTTTTAAATAATAAAAAAAGAACATATATTTGCACACATCTTAAATACACCTGATAATTGTTATCGAGTGAATGCTTCAGGGATGCCGCTATTATGAACAAGAAAATAACACTGATCGTCGACACTAAATCGTTTGATGATGACAAAAATTGATAAAATTTTACCCAGAAAGAAAACGAATAGATTTTTCCATCAGACAAAGAAGAAACAAAATTAATTTAAGATTAAAGAAGATTAACTAATAGTAACAATATATATATATATATGTCTACATCAAAGTAGTTCTTTTCAAATAATGAAACCCTAGTTTTTCACCTATTGTCAAGTCATTTTAATTACCTAGTCAGAAAATTCTTTATTTAGTATTTCTTTCCTCGTTTTTTTCTTCTTCATCATATTATCATCTCAATATTAATACGATGAGTCTAAACAAAATGACATTTGAGCTAATTGCATTTTGCTACTGTTGCTCAGCGAGCCTTATCGAATCTCATTTTGCTTGATCCAAAATGTGAATGTACGCGTCTCACTTTCACAGA